AATTTATTTGTAGCAATATAATTTTTTTAAAAAAAATCTACAAGTATTTTAACATTAACCCAATCCCCATTTGTAAGGTGCTCATCATCATCACTTACATGTGCATTAAATGTTGAGTTTTTGGGATTTCTATATTCATATGCAACAACAAAACTTTCATAAATGTAATTCTATCTAGTTGGACAAGGTTTAGGAACCTTTCTTTCTCTTAGGCCAAACTCATCGCATCTTTTAAAATATTCTCTAAGTCTACTTCTACGGTTTGAATAAAAAAGCCAATTAAGAGCCATTTTAACCTTTTCAATTTCAATATTTAAAATTCTCATACCATCACCCACAATTAAATGGTAAATATGACAAATACATCTAACATGAAAAATGTCACTAAATGCAGGATTTAACGTTGTGATAAGCAAGGCTATATCATTTGTGTTACTAGTAGCATTATCTATTGAAACTAACATTATTTTATCACTAATACAAAAATATCTACAAATATTTGTAACTATGCTAGTAATAAACTGTCTTGTGTGACGTGAATTAATTATTCTATAAGAAATAATGCGCTTTTGCATTATCCAATTCTCATCAATCCAATGACTGGTAACAGTAAGATAAATCACATTCGTTACCACTTCTACCAATATCAGTTTTAATAGCAACACGACAATTTATATGAGTAAATAAATAGCGCAAATATTGTTCATATTCATGTTTATATTTATAAATATCACTCTTTACGGTTGTGCGAGAAAAGCCTTTATATGTAGGATTAAAAATAATTCTAATATAATGCACAAAATTAGGGTCAGAAGGAAAACTATAGGATAAACACATAACAATTACCATTTTTCAAATTCTTCCCGATCTTTTTTTGGATCATAATATAAAATACCACCGGTAACAATGTTAATTCCCGGTTGAAATTGATTTGAACCGGTACTAGGGTCAACCTGGGACTAGGAGTAGGTAGACTTTTCCCCTCGGCCAAAATTTTCAGACGAAGATATTTCACTTTATCTTGAGTGTGTTTCAACATGTGTCTAGCCAAAGTTTCCGTCCCCCTCCCCCCCCTCCCGCGATAAAAAATATTTAAAAACTAACTTCGTGCTACAAGTTTTACACTTAGCCTTATTTTCTGGAATTAGTTGAGTAAAAAATGGCCAAACAGGAGATGTTTCCGTCCGTTTGCTAGGTTGTCTAGAAAAAGTAGGGGTAGTAACAGGAGTATCAGATGGGGCATCATTTGAATTAGCAAGGTTATCACTAGTTGGGTTAACATCAAGAGCAGGACTAGTTGGTGTATCATTATCCGGTTGAATTTCATCAAAATCTATTTCCTCGTCATCATTTTCATCAATAGTTGGATTAGAATAAAGAGCATTTATTAATTCATGGTCTAATTGTTCACCAGCTCTAATATTATGGCAAAATTAATTTTCAGTAAATTGTAATAAACTATTATCGCTATCAAGAATAGCATGTATATGACGGATATGGAGTTTGGTTCGGGGAGCCCGGGGCAGTTGAGGAGGAACAGATTGAGCACTAGATTCGTCACTCTTGAATTTTCCCTTATTTTTACCAAATTTTTTTTTTAAGGAAGCCATCTTAATTAATAAAGTAATAGAAAATAAATAAAACAAACAAAACTATAATATTAAAACTTAAGAGTTGAAACGAGTTTACCGAATTGACGACCAACTTATTGAATATTGATTATCATTGAAGACTTCAATTCACCAACTTCACAATTGTTTCACGAATTGTAACAACAAAGTAAGCAATAGTAGTAATTATAGAAGAAAATTAGAGAGAGATTGTGATAGATTGATGATTTTGTAAGAAAAATGAAAGAATGAAGGAGTATTTATAGTTGAAAATAGGAAAAAAGTGTAATTATAAAAAGTTTGGGATTAAAACAAAGTTGGGGGAGGGGGGAGGGTAAATGGCTATTTTATAACGGCTATATTTTATTTTATTTTTAAAAAAAGGATCGTTTGGCCGGTTAAGGGACCGGTCCGGTCCCTGGCGGCCAAATGGTCCCGGGCATGGCGGGCCCAAAGCATAGGATCGGCCCAGATCCACTAAAACCGGCTCATACGGTCCTGGCCCGTTTGGCCCGCGGTCCCGAGCCTGGACCGGCCCACTTGCCAGCCTTAGGTATGAGTAATGAGTCTTTTTAATTAATTAGGAGATATTTAGAATTGACCAACAGGAAGATGACACGTGTCCCTCCGTTTAAATGAGGGATATATTTTAACCCAAAGTATGACTGCAGGGGAATAGATAACTCAATAGTATAACGAGGGGTATTCTTAGACTATTTTCGAAAGTAGAGAGGTATATTTGGCCCTTTGCCGTTGAATATATGGTGGCCAATTAAGTCAAAATTTTATTAAAGAAATTTTGAAAGTATAGGAAGTTCACACGACATTTTAAATCACATACTAAGAGGTATGGATGCATAATCATAGATCGATCTAGTAGTTAAAAACTTGACATGGGTTGTACATCTTCTTGAGAAACCAATTGTTTCAGTCGACGAATCAACGTCTCAAAATCATGTTGACCCTTCAACAAGCTAAGTCGAACATAACGATTTTTTGCAAAGAATTTGCTGCCTGGTCGACCTATGATTTTTGCTACTCTGAAGACTTGTGTGCAGTTTTTATCTTCTTTTCTCTTACACTTCACCCATGCATAACCTGCCATCAACGCCACAATGATGAACACCCAAAACACACACACACACACAGTGGCATACGCAAGATAGTTTTGTATATTGTCATACTGCTTGTAAATATATAGGTCTGGTTTGATACTTTAAATGGTTTTAAGGAATTCACTCAAATCTAGATTCTTGTAATTATGATTCAAGTGAAGAAAAAGTAAGCCTATTTATTTCGGGCTTTAAAACCAGTAGTTCTAGCGACCGATTCGGTCTTCTCAAATTGGACTTCGCATTGTTCACAAAAATTCAGGTCTTCTTTTTCATCTTCAATTACTCTGATAATTTCCACAAGCACAAATTCCGGACCAAAAATATTTTCTCAAAATAATCCATCTTTTTTTCGATTTGTTAGTTTTGTAATGAAAAGTATAATGTTTTGGTATTGATGTTTATATCGATCGATCATAGAAGAAAAAATATTATTCATTCCGATTAAGCTTCCTTTCTATTAATCTCAAAGACTTAGTACCTATCTAGATCAAATTGATATATAATTTGTGTTATTTTCAATAAGTGTCCGACTTTTTGTAGACAAATTAGCCCTAAATTTTTCTTTTTTTTTCAAAAAAAAAATCACTTTTTTTTCGAAATCAGCGTTTGTTCATAAAATTTTCAATTTTCACTTGAAGATGCATTTTGAAAATTTTCGAAAATTTTAAAAACTCCAAAAAACTGTTTTTCAAAATTTTCACTCAAATCACTCACAAAATTCAAAAACAACCCAAAATTATATTCATGTCCAAACACAACTCTAAATTTCAAATACCATTTTTACTTGAAAAATAATTTTTCCCTATTTTGGAATTTTACAATTCTTGTGTCCAAATGCCCACTAAAAGTCTTCTTGAGTAAAAAGAGTTTTTTATTTTTTTCTAAAAGATAGTTTAGTCTTTATCTAAAAATATTTCTTGAGTTAAAAAAGTTACCCGGAGATGGTTCTCTGGCTCTGTCAAAAAATGTGCAATACTGAGTTGGAATACTTTGGAGGGTAAAACGTTTAGATAAAGAGAAAATGCGATCACTTAAGATTTCATGTGCAAAATTGAAGAGTTGCTTGCCATCTCCTTGAGCAACAACTTTCAGAAGAGTTAAGGCTCTCAACTGGCCATCTTTTGAGGTCCCCATTTCAGCAACATCAATAAACTCCATCATTCTTTTATATACATTCACGTCCTTTACAATAGCCCAACTACACTTGTCAAGGAAAACAAATAATCCTCAAAGAGATTAAAAGGCACTTCTTAAAAGAAAGGTAAGTGTTCATACAACAACAACAACACAGTATAATTCCACTAGTGGGGTTTGGGGAGGGTAGTGTGTACGCAGACCTTACCCTTACTCTGGGTAGAGAAGCTGTTTCCGATAGATCCTCGGCTCCCTTCCCCCAAGAACTCCCCACCTTGTTCTTGGGGTGACTCGAACTCACAACCTCTTGGTTGGAAGTGGATGATGCTTACCACTAGAGCAACCCACTAAAGGTAAGTGTACATAGATAATAAATTATACACATATACATGGATTATATATATAATATACTCCTGCCGGCTATTTTTTAGTTTAATTGAATGGCGGCTATTTCTATTAATTCTTCAAGAATAAACTAGCGTGATATGATTTTTTTCTTAATTTTGTTTTTGAATTTGTTGCATCACTGTTTGGTTAAACTTTTTTTTAGGATTACATCTTACAATTATGCATGGCAAAATAACCAAAACATGAAATTACATGCTTGAAAAGTTTTAGTACTCCTTTGATATAAAAGGTTTATCTTTTTTGAGTTATATTTTTAAAAACTTACATAAATCTATATTAAAAAAAATGCATTTGATCAAAATCCTTGACTTTTGAAATTCAGCATGGAGGGAATTTGTGAGATATGAGAAAAAAAAAAAAGTTACTGATTTTCCTACAAATAATTTTCGGTGAAGTGGCCAAAAATCAGATCAGTCTTTTTTTTTTTTTTTTTTTTTTTTTTTTTTTTTTTTAAAAAAAAAA